GGCTGATGCCTCATGTTTGCTGTTGTTTTCTGTCGCCTTCTCTTCCTCTGCTTTCTTTCTTTGTTTTGTTGGCATTTGATACTGCTTCAGGAATAATTCTGCTTTAGAGAGAGACACAATCTTTTCCTTCTTCTCTTTATAGTTGAATATAAGGCCTTCTGGTAAAATCCATCAGTATTGGACACTGTTCTTTTGAAGAAATGTTGTGATGTTTCTGTATTGCTTCCTCTTCTTACGTATTTCAAATGGAACATCTTTCAGTATTTTTATCTCTTCCTCTTAAATTTTTAATGTTGTGGCAGTAGAAGCTTTAAGTATCAAGTCTCTTGTTGATCTTTTTGCGAATTTAACAAATATTTCCCCTGGAAGATTATTTTTTTTCCCACAAACTCTGAGTAGGTTCTATAGATCATGTCTATATCCGCTTGCAATATTTCAGGTTTGCTGTTGATCAAGTGGGCCAATGCTTCACTTAAGATTTCTCTTAAATTTTCATCTTTTTCCCCCCGGTACCCCTTGAAATCTTAAAACATATAGGGATCTTTCCACTTGTAGTTGTAGTAATTGTTGTTTTTCAGAAGCTCTTTCTTTATCTGCAATGTCCATTCTTTGATCCATTTCTTTGGTCTTAGTTTCAACCTTTTTTAGCTTTTGGGCCGTCTTGTCTGATTTAACTTTAGTTTCCTTCAGCTCCTTCTGCATATCATCAAATTTCTTATTGAGATTCGTCAGCTGATCCAGCAGGGGGCGCAAGGCTTCAGAAATTGTACCAGCTAAATCGATGGTAGTTTCTGGTCTTGTGACCGGTGATGCTGTGCTGGCATTTCCTGTGGTGCCTCTGCCTCTGGATGCCATTTCTCCCCCTCGCTGCGTCATTGTTTACATTAAGGTAAAAGTTTTTTTTTTAAGTTCTAAGCTTTTTCTCTGCAATGAATGTCGGGTCCCGCTGCGATCTGCTTGGGCTGGGTGGGTTTCTGACAGCTTAGTATCGGCTTGCTGCCCATTTATTTCTTTATTTATTTTATTCAATTTATACCCCACCCTCCCCGCAACGCGGGCTCAGGGCGGCTTACAGAGAGGAATGCGCCAATATAAAACATATTTAAAATCATTAGAGCTCCGTCTTACAGGCCCTGCGGAACTGTACAAGGTCCCGCAGGGCCCGGATCTCCACCGGGAGCTCATTCCACCAGGTAGGAGCCACCACCGAGAAGGCCCTGGCCCTGGTCGCGGCCAGCCTGGCCTCTCTGGGACCTGGCATTGCCAGGAGACGTTGCGTCCCAGACCGAAGTGCTCGCGGGGGAACATATGAGGAAAGGCGGTCCCTTAGGTAAACTGGACCCAGACCATGTAGGGCTTTAAAGGTAAGAATGAGCACTTTGAAGCGAATCTGGTACGCTATTGGCAGCCAGTGCAGCACTTTCAGCACAGGCTGGATGTGGTCCCTACTAGGAAGACCCATCAACAGCCTGGCCGCAGCATTCTGCACTAGCTGCAGCTTCCGGATTTGCGACAAAGGCAGCCCCATGTAGAGAGCGTTGCAGTTCGCTGCTTTTTACGCTGTATGGTAGGGTTCTTCCTCGCACGAGTTCTCCCCCCTTTCTCTATGGAGCTTTGTCATCTCACTGTCAGTTTCTCCACCCTCTTTGCATTTGTCTTTCTTTTGAAACTTCTTCACTCATTTTTTTAATCTGGGTGTCTTCTTGCAGGGAAAGTCCTTTTTGCTTAGGTCCTTGCATGCTCTGGTCCAGTAACGTCTCTGGTCGCCATTGCTGGCTTTGGGGCAGCAGGACCCTGAGGAGCAAAAAAGAGCCCCAAACCCCAAGCCGCGGATTCGGGAGCGGCTCCTTCAGCACTCCAGGCTAGAAGCTCCCTACAAGAGCTTGGGGGGGGGATCGAAAGCGTCCAAACCCCCTCTCTGCCGCCTCAATCCAAATCGCACCCATCGGAGCTCGATGGAGTGCGTTTGTTCGCAAGTCGCCAAAACCAGAAGCCATTGTATTTTTTATCTTGTTGACCAATTGTTATATTGCTTTTTGTGCTTTGCAACTTGTTTTGTTAGCCTTGTTTAGTGTAAGAATATATAGCAGAATATAATTAAAAAAAATAAAAACAAACTACTGTATCAAACTGATGAAAAAGATGAAATTATTCATTTAGAAATGCTTTGGCTGAAGATAACTGTGGCATCAAGATATTCAGTTCTCAACATGGTAACAAAACACATTTATCCAATGTGCTGATCTAGTGTTATAAAATACCTGAGGTTGGAAATTTAAAATGAAGGTTTACAAGACCAGGGACTCTGTTATTGCAGTCATAATACCAATGAATGTTATCACTAATATGATCTGGCCTATCAGTGCAGATATAAAAACAAACAATCTTTCTTCCATCCAGCTTTGTCAACTGAAATTAGAAACTGATTCATGTTGCAGTGGTCAAATTGCTTACTCCTTTATTTAGTGCATTACTGAATACTCTAAAAGTAAGTGGTTTTTGGAAGGCAGGTTTTTCTGTGACCCAGTCCTGAGTTTGCTGTGCTAGCAAACCAATGCAGACAATGTGTAATACCATCTGCTTCAGAATATCAGGTCACAAACGCTGCAGATATATAAACCAGCATAATCTTTCGGGCTGGGGAACAAGTGAGCTTTAAGTTTTTAGGAATCTTTCCCCAAAACTAACGTTAGAAAGTAGACAAAAGTAAAGTTTCTGAATATGACAGCAACAGAAGGGTGAAGAACTTGTAAGCGAGGACTCTAGCCGCTGTGACAATTGATTCCAATGGATTATCACACAGGGAGAATTTCTAATTCCTGCCCCATCCCTCCCCACACACCTGCAGCCACTGTACCCATAACAAACTGACTACAAGAGTTAAGGATAATGATTATTGTATGGCATTGCGTGTAGTTTAGCCAAGAGATCCTAAGATTGTCTGGCAGCCAGAAGTTCTAACTCTTTAGCATCATGTACCACTAGGAGGCAAGGTAGACTTATTCTGGGGGCAAGAGAAGTTTCAGAGGTGGTTAGCCACTACTTGCTTCTGGTCACAACCCTGGTATTCCTTGTAAGTTGCCCATCCAAATACTAGCCAAGGCTGACCCTGCTTAGCTTCCGAGATCTGAATAGCCTGGGTTATCCCGGTCAGGGCAAGAGTTAAAGATACCCACTCTGCACAACAGCGGTGATCTTAAGACAGAAGCCTCTGTATTTAATAATAAGGTTCCTCCACCTAAACAATTAGATACTACAAAAATTACTTATGAAACTACAGATTTCACATTAGTTGAGAAGACACCTGTAGCGCTTTCATCAAAGATAAAAAAAGGGGCCAGCCTACCTTATAAAAGAAGTATTGCACAAGTTCAGATATCCTGACATAATAAAAATGCCCATGAACAAGCAACATTTTTTTCAAATGTTTAAATTTGGGTATTGCATAGTCACTATTTCTTGCAGCTTGACGGCCTTCTTTTCCAACAATGCCTAGAAAAAAAAAATATTGGTAAATACTGGTGAAGCAACGTGAAATGATTCAGGCAAACTGAATTGGGGATTATCAATAATTAGATTTCCCGCCTGTTTTACCAGATTACATGCTATGTGTTTTGAATTTTAAAAAACCCTGAGAAGAAGAGTTGGTTTTTACACGCCGCTTTCCTCTACCCTAAGGCATCTCAAAGCAACTTACAATCACCTTCCTTTCCTCTCCCCACAACAGTCACCTTGCGAGGTAGTTGGGGCTGAAAGAGTTTTGAAAGAAACTGTGTCTGGCATAAGGTCACCTGGCAGGCTTCATATGGAAGAGTGGGGAATCAAACTCTGTTCTCCAGCTAAGAGCCCACAGCTCTTAACCACTACACCACTCTGGCTCTCTGGATTTATTTAAACTAAATTATAATCAGTCAAGTCCTACCTGTTTGTTGCATGAAGACTGTGCTCTTGTCATTCTTGATCTGTACACGTTTCCATGCAGACACCAGGTTGGATGAGAGTGGGGTGGGTGATTTTCACTGATCCCTCCCCTCCTGCTGCAGACTTGGCTCCCCCATACAGCTGTTGCTGGGGTTCCCTGTCCCAGGAGCACCATTTTGGGCTAGGCTTGCCAAGTCCCCCCGGGGGGGGCGGGGAAACCCCCGCCCCAGAGGCCCGTTCCCTGCCGCTGGCGGATCGGGCCCCGGGGGGAACCCCACCCCGACGTGCATGTCACCCGGAAGTGACGTGATGCCGCCGGGCATGCTGGGGGCGGGGCCACGGTCATCCGAGGGAAAACTCTATGGTTTTCCCTCGGATGGTCGTGGACCCGCCCCCAGCGTGCCCAGCATCGTCACGTCACTTCCGGGTGATGTGCGTGCGGCGCGCACGCTTTGTGCACACAGACTCCCGGAACAAGCCAGGAGTTCCCCGCTCTGGATACAGGTAACACTTGGCAACCCTATTTTGGGCTGCAACGGGTGTGGGGGGGTTGTTCTGATGCAACGGGTGGGGGGAGTTTTGTTCTGCTAACGGAAATCCATTTTTGTCAGCAGAAACTTTTTTCTAGATCTGCTTCACACTAAACAGTTTGATCTGGAATGTTTATGCCTTTGAGCTGCAGCTGCCGTTCAATCCCCTGGAGATGTGTGAATATATACTTAATGCTTTTTACCTGCTTTGACCCAAATATTGAGGTCTATTACTTAATACCAGCTACACTATCTTCCATCCAGTCTGGTAAAGGAGGTAATATAATCCCTGCCCAGCAGATGGAGTCCATCTCCCTTTTCTTCAGATATGGGCAGTGTCTTCTAATTGAAAGAACTCATCTTACCAGCAACACAGCATTGCTACTTTAAAATTACGTTTGCTTTTTACTTATTTGAGCCCCAAATCCACTTACCTATGCCCACATGTGCTTCTAAGATCATACTGACATCGTTTGCTCCATCACCAATCGCTAATGTGATGGGGTGCTCTTTTGACCATTTAATCAATTTTACAATCTGGAAGGAGGGAAAAAAAAGGCGGTCTTATTTTTGAAACAATCCACCCAGCCACCCCAAGATCTACTCAGAGTGGCAGTGGCTCTCCAGGGTCTTAGAGAGGTTTTTTAACAGGGTGGTTTGAGATAATAATTTTGGGTGTCCTCTTCAGCACTTGTTCTGCTATTATTCCATTGGAGTTCCACATTGGGAGAGTGCGTGTGTTAAAACTAGTATTTATCTGCAAAACCGGAGTCCCTTGAGTTTGCAGAACTCTGTATTTTAACCCTGGCTGGTCCCAACCCCCCCCCCCCCATGCCCTTAAAATGTACGTGCCTAAACCGGAAAGGTGGGGAAATAATGGAATTGTGCAAAGCCAGTTTTAAAAGAAAAAAGGACAAGGATCACAGCAGAAGGACCCTCTCATCTCCTACCTGAGACAAGGACTATGGAGGCTGGGAGCGGTGGCTGGGAAGTTAGGCAGCCCCGCCCTCTGCTCTTTATACTCCCCCCTAACTCAAGCTGAGAACAGCAAGGACAGGCAGGGGAGGGGGGGAGAGAAGAGAGCCCCACTCCTGGGCTGGATTAAAGGCCTGGGTGGCCACTTCTGGACCACGGGCCGTAGATTTGACACCAGTGAGTGTGTGCGTGTGTGCATGTATACTGTCAACCTGAATATCACAGAATATTCTGTTCTCAAGACAGAGGTGAAAGACAGGTAAAGAAAACATATCTTTGGACCTGCTCACACATTATTTTCCAGGATTTTCTTCTCAGATCCGTCTTTCTGCTCTTGCTGTGACATAGAAAATAATAAGTAAAACTATTGTTCAGCACTAAACCTCCATTCTGTCTGAGGACTGGCTGGTGGCTATGAAGATACCTCATTCAGCAGACACAATAAAGTGCAGTTCATTTAAGTTTTTTTCAATTAGGGGGCATTGGTGGTGTGAAGAAATGCATTTTTGAGTGGCCGTCTGAACTGAGCAAAACCTTCACCATGAACTTTTAAAATCTTTTTTCTCTCTGGGCAGAGAACAGGTAGGAAAGGGGAAGTCAGTTCAATATACATTGGTAACTGAGTACCTCTTAAGAAATGTTAATAGGTCTAACAAGAGACGATGGGATGGTCAAGTTCTCTCCCCACCCCCAAACAGAGGTTTGGAGGTATTAAGTTCTAGAAGGACTTCAGGAAGAAACTCCTGCAGACTTCAGGAAAAGCTTCTTTGACCCAATCTGACCTGGTCAGTGGGTGTAGAAACAGATATGATAAAACTCCTGGGAGCAAGGAGAAAGGACTCTTTGGTCCTGATTCCATCGAAGGAGACAGAGCTCTTAACTGAGGTCAGGAGGAGGAGGCCATTATCATGTGCTGGCCTGCACACTTGAAGGAGGCTTGAAGGTAATGGGACTCCTGTAAAACCTGTAACTTTCTAAGCTAAGGAACCTGCCTTATATTTAACCTCTGATAGGGCATGTATAGAGGGAGGGAGAGAGGAACTGTGTTTTACCCTTTTCTTTTCAATCCCTTGCTCAATCTACTGCTGTGCTAAGAATATGCTTGTGAACACTTTCTTTTTAATAAGTGCGTTATAACTTTTGAGCCTGGTAGTGGTTTTCTGTGCCACACAGACCTCCGTCTTGGACACGCTATTTTAAAAGGAGTGTCAGAGGAAAGGGGAGGGCAGTCAGTTGGCAAGAGGTTGCTCCTCTAGTGGTGTACAAGGCAGCAAGCTGTCCCTATGGTAAACAGACTCTAAGTAGCGGGAGACACAGAGGCAAGGCCTCAGAACTTGGAAGAGAAGCTGGGAGTCCTGACCCTCTCAGTGGGCAATTCTTTACGAAGGTCAAGTGGCAGCGCTGGCTGAACAGACGGTGAGAAAAACCCTCCTGGTGTTGGGAAAATCTTGGAGAACAGGGTGGAACAGGGCCTGCAGAATGGAGCAAGACCGTTCTGCCACAGGGATGAAGGCACATTAGATCGAAATTTATCCCAAGAAAATGAACCAGAAAGACCAAAAGTTCATGTTACCTACTCTCTTTTATCCCTTTGCTTAAATTTTATTCACAATATCAGTTGATTATAAAGCCCTAATCAGTCAGAAAAAAATTAAAAGAATTTCTACCAGATATCATCTATCTTTGTTTTTAAGCAATACAGGTTTCCACGTGAAATTACGGTTCAGACTCACAAAGAAGTATCCTCCGAAAGTGTGGCACTTTTCTTTAGTAGAAGTATGCTCATTCTTTCCGTATTGCATCAATCCTAGCACTAGCTTAAAATCTGCATAAATCAGTGGCACAGCAGGATACCATTTTAATGTACCATTAACTAATTGCTCTCTTACAGAAATCCTTCCTTCCTTGTTTTTAATTTTTCCTTCCATTATCAATCATGGAAATGTGGGTGTTTTACATTTTTTCTTTTATCATGACTACAACATGTTACGTAACGATTTTCAATATTTGTACGAATATACATTTATCAGATAATTAAAGAAATGAAACACAGACCTGTGCTTTCTGCAGAGGAGCCATACGGCAGCATAAAACTGCACTGCAGTTCCTACATATTTCAAGGAAGAGCTCTCTGTAGTTACCAGAGCTCCCATCTTCCCGTGGCTTCATTATTAATGATAATGCTGCTCCATCAATAATTAAACCATAATCTTGCATCTCAGCTGAAAGCCTGCCGAGCGACAAAAATATGCACGAAATGAAACTTTGTTTTGCAATTTAACTAATTCTGTTTTTACATAGTACATGAAATTAAGAGAATCGTCAGATACATCAAATATCAAGATAGACACAAAAAGTCGTTTGATAGTGATGTCTTATGTTTGCTTCCCACTATTACAACAGCAGCAAAACGTTACCACTAACCCAATGTTCCTCGACGTTGTGGGTTAACTTCAAAAGGCAAAACGTCAATTTTTCACTTATTTCACATACTCTAAAGTGTTTTTTAATCTCTGAGAACAATCATATACGACGGGGAATGTGGGCCAAAGAAGAGGCAAAAGGCAAAGCAAAGAGGTCAGAGGTGAATAACTACTTTTAAATTATCATCTGGCCAGAGATTCCTCATAAAAACACAGGGAAAGAAGAGGATTTTGAACTTCTGGGTGACCAGCAGTTTGTTAGCATGAATGCCATGTTGAATTTGTGTGATGGGCCTCCATGGATTTGTCTAACAAATTACTAAAACCAGGGCTATTTTTGGGCAGGAATTATTACGGGTGTGTGGCCTAACATGCAAAGGAGTTCCTGCTACCAAAAAAGCCCTGGGTTTTGACAACAAAGTAAACAGAATAAGAAGCAAAAGGTGGGTGTGGCTGGATGACCACACTTCTGGTAACATGGGGGTGCGGCCTACTATGCTAATGGACTGTGCTGTCAAGTGTGTGGCCTAATATGCTAATGAGTGTCTGCTGTTGGGTGTGGCCTATTATGCTAATGAGTTCCTGCTGGGCTTTTTCTACAAAAAAAGCCCTGACTAAAACGGAGAAGTATGGAAATCTAAAAAGCTATTTGGGAAAATGAATAGAGAGCTCACAAAAAACGCATGAATGCATGCTGACACCACCAGTAAGTAACAATAAAATTTGCAAGATAATGTGATAACCTAATAAACCTGCATAAACATTCAGGTCAGAGAGCTATAACTTCTCTCTACAGAACCTGGATAAACAAACAAATTTTTAAAAACTTGTCTTCTAGTTTACCACTAAATCAGTGCCAAAAAGTAATCAAAATTTACGTGTGACTCAGAACTTATGCCTTCTACATACCCTGAGAAAGTATCTCTTGTTAAGCTGCCGCTGTGCCTTAGAACAGTTTTGCTTAACTCAAACAATACATCGTGCAAACTCTGTTCCTCTATTTTCTTTGTAGTCAGCTCAAGAATGTGGGTGTTTCTTCTGAACAGTTTACAGGCGTAGCATGCTGCAGCGGCAGTCTCCATTTTGTCTCCCGTCAAAACCCACACCTTAATGCCGGCTTTTTGTAGGGCTTCAATGGTATCCGCAGCTTTCTCCTGTAGACTGAGAGATACCAGTTGAAAACATTTATTGGCAGATGTGAAATGAAAAATGTAGGGGACTTACTAAAGTGTTTATACAGGAAAACTTACTGTTATTTATTAAAGGGGCTGTACTGTTCCATTGAAGGAGCACAAAATAAGATTTACTAAAAAGTGCTGCATGGGGCCTGATTCAGGCAGTGTAAATAAATACCCCCCCCCATCTGTTTCGGGTCAGGGAAACAGCAGAGATGGTAATGCTGAAGGTTGCCCTTCCCTGAAGTTGTAGTCTCAAGGCCAATCAGGCCCCTGTGTTGCTTCAGAACTGGGGTCCCACTGGGAACTCACAACTGCTGTTTGGCTGCAAGTCCTTGGGTAATCAACAAGTAACACCTAGTTTGGGCCTTACATATAATCCTGGATGTGGGTTGGCTTTAGACCCTTAGATTTCAGTTATAGCAAGGAGTATTTTTAGCGTGTGATGATTCAGTGCTGTTCTGGAGAAAACAGATCCAACCATGGTCTTGTAAGCTGAATAAACCACTAGATTCAACTGCTGTATATTAATTAAAATCAGCTAGTATTCCAGGTGCCACCAACGATAAGGCTTTCCTTGTGTCAGCATTTACACCAGAGAAACCTGCCACACTCATTCTGTTGAGAATATTCAGCGATTACATAAAACAATGCCCTTTCTACATGTTTTCTGCAGTCACTGAACATCTTAATTCTGTCTAGCCACTACTAATTGTTATGTTAGTTTTAAATCCTTTTAATATGATATTTTATATTACTGGGCTTTGTCTGTGAGCTGCTTATTGACCAGGGAGAAATCACTTCCGTCAAAAGCAGAAAAGCAGCACATAAATTTAAATATAAGCAAAACAAAAATAACTTTGGCTACCACACAATCAGCTGTCGTGAAGAGCTTTTTTCTCACATGAAGCAGTTCCTTTATCTGTTTATCAAGTAATAAATTTATCAAGTGGTAAGCGGCCAATGAGACTGGTCTCATGGTGAAGCTTAACACATCACTATACAGTACTAGACACAACAAAAGAAGTGTACTAACCGGTCTTCCACCGCAGTGGCACCAAGCAAAATAAGATCTTTTTCTATCCGCTCATAAGCTTCTGCGAGTTTCTTTTCCCGGTCCCTCAGAGACAGCTTTGCCTCCTGCAGAGACTTCTCCACACTCTCATATTCTTCATAGGTGAACTTTTTATAAGCAACACACAATGTCCGCAGGCCTTCCTAAAGAAAATTGGTTTAAAAGTGCAGGAATGTGTTTACTGAATTTTTTCATAGGTATTTGAAAAGTCAGTTTGATTCAGACCTAGGTTGAAATTCCCACTCTGCCATGACCTGCTGCGTGATCTTGACTTGTCATTTCCATGTACACAACCATGCAAGCTCCTCAGTGGAACACAGTTCTGTTTGTGGAAGGTACAGACTTCTGCTAGTTCCCCCCCCCCCAAATGTTCTTAAGCAGAGGTCATTTCGGGGGGGATTTAGGGGGATCGCAGTTCCCCCGGGGTGAGGTACCGGGGGGCGGGGCACATGACGAAGCCCCGCCCCCTTCTTCCGGCCGCCCTTCTTCCGGCCCTCATTTAGCCAGGAGGAGGCAGGAGAAGAGGGAGGGTAAGTTGCTTCCTCCCTGCCTCTCCCCACCCCTGCCTGCCTAGGGCCAGAGAGGGCCTTCACGGGGCTTCCTTGCACTCCCGCCAGCCTTGCAGGTCCACCACCGGGCCCCTCATGGGGCTCGGCAGTGGAGCTGCAAGGCTGGTGGCAGCGGCCGGGACCGTATGTGGCCTTATGACACACTTCCGGTGATGTCAGGGGGTGTGGCCTTATGACAAACTTCCGGTGATGTCAGGGGGTGTGGCATATGCTAATGAGTTATGCTAATGAGTTCCCCTAGCTCTTTTTCTACGAAACGACCCCTGTTCTTAAGGGTCCATTAACCCTCAGGAACAGAATTTCAGGGAGCTATTGGGCTACAGCTGGAGGAAGAGTCAGGAAAGTCACACTCAGTGAAATCCACAGATGATTGTATACATGCCATGTTCTCCCATCCTGATCTACCTCACAGGGCTAGTATGTGGATAAAATGGGGGACAGGACCATATACACCATACTGAATACCTTTTGAGAAATGGTAGGATAAAAATGTGAATAAAATTAGTTCATGCGGATTATAGTTAATAGTGACATCTCATCTACTGGCTTGACTTTAGGCTAGGAAGCAAATTTATCACCTATCCTGAGCATGACAATACTACTTCTGAAAAAGTTTAAAGTCAGAATTGACGGGAGTTACAAATTCTTACTTTGTAAACTTTACTCCTGACATGTTTCTAATACTAAGTACATGGACTCCCTCGACAGGTACATGATGGAGGGGAATGGAAATCAACACAATGGCTGTTGCATGACTTGCACAGTCCTTCATAAGCATGTACAAACAATTTCTGTGATTTTTGGCCTTCAGTGGAAAGAGCACAATTAATGCTTGCCAAACAATGGATCTTACCACAGCATTTCTTTCAACTCTTGATCGAATCTGTTCTATTTTGCCTTCTGTAACTCTAGGAAATATAGAAGAATCTGCTCCTTTACAAAATAGCAATATTTCACCTGAAAATATAAACAAAACAAAAAAAATTAAATACGGTGCAAATTTTAAATGTACTATTATCCCCTGCCCAACACAGACATTTTCTTAAGTATCCATTTACCTATTTTAAAAGCAACATCTACTTTAACTTATTTTTAGAATCAGATTCCAAGCATAGGGTTGAACCCTAACTTCTGTAAGCAAAGGAAATTTCACAGAAGGGATGTCGGCCATCTTTATTCTCTATCCCCAATCCCTTGTGCCACTTGAGCGCTCCTGAATGAGCATGACGCATCACATAGACAGCTGTAGTGAGAATGGGGAAACTGATGAAAACTGCTCCCTCACTTGTGTGAATTCTTTCACAAATGGTGCAGTAACTCATGCAAGAGTATATGGGCGTAGAAAAATCCAACGATTCCCTCAGTTCAACTGAAGCCTCCTGTGCCACATGCTACAATGTTCCTGAGGGTCCCATATTCTCCACGAAAAGCTAAAGGGGATGGAAAGCAGGTGACTAAGATCAGGGGTCATTTCGTAGAAAAAGAGCTAGGGGAACTCATTAGCATAACTCATTAGCATATGCCACACCCCCTGACATCAGGGGCCCGGGGGTGGACCTGCAAGGCCAGCGGGAGTGTGAGGAAGCCCCACCAAGGCCCTCCCTGGCCCCAGGCAGGCAGGGGTGGGGAGAGGTGGGGAGGAAGCAACTTACCCTCCCTCTTCTCCTGCCTCCTCCTGGCTGAATGAGGGCTGGAAGTGGGGCGGCTGGAAGCAGGGGGCAGGGCTTCGTCATGTGCCCCGCCCCCCTGCACCTCACCCGGGGGAACTACGTTCCCCCCCGAAATGACCTCTGACTAAGATTCCTTCTTCAAGTTCTCTTCCACTTACTGAAGTATGGCTTCAAACCCATAATATTTAGGACAAAGGAAAAACCAGAGATCGCAAGAGACAAGAAACAGTGATGTGATTTGAATGTCAGAATTAAAATGAACAATACAAAAGGCCTTTTAAAAAAAATCTACCTTTTGCTGATTTAACAATTACACTCATCCGTCTCCTCACTGAATCAAAACTAAGGACCTCCAGCAATTCAAACCTGAAGGAGAAAAAACAGAACGAAAAAAGTTTAATGTATATCCTGTTAAAGGTATGCTTCAATCCATTCTCAGACAACCTTCGTAAGAAGAAAAAGTCATTTGCACTGAAATTTTAAAATCCACACCTGACAAAATTATAGATTATCAGCACATTAAACAATTTTTCGCAAATGAAAATTGCAGGCATCAATGCAGGTTTTTTTGTGGTGTGCTTTTAATATACTTCTACATCATAATGAAACAATTACTCACTTTTCAATGTCATTTTCTCGATTTAAGATTTCCATAAAATTGTCCTTCAGTCTTAAGTATGTGTAGCCAAGTCTGAAAAGTGAATGACAGATGGATATCAGAGATTATTAAAGCTAATGTATGCAACATACTGAACTGTGTAATTGATTGTGTATGCCAGAAATAACCTTCCCATTTCATTTGAATGGTACAAAATTTATTATTTGCTCAAGCTGTTTCAGGACTTTGCTTTTTTCCTGTCTTCTGCCTCAGAGTTTTGAGAAGAACCATCCCATATAAGCTTTCTCCCCCCCCCCCCAAACAATTTATTAGGATATAATAAAAATCACACATATATCACAAATTATATTGTTCTACATCCTTTTTCTCCTTTCTCCCCCCCTTTATCGGCTCCATCCCATATAAGCTTTCTCACAGTTTTATTCCATCAAGATCTTTCTTCCTATTACACTTCTACCCACCACAAATGTACTGCTTACTCCTCAGCAAAATGAATACATCCCCAAAGGCACACCTATAGAACCATCACTCAAATCCCTTCACCATCTGCTCAAGAATTAAAGTTTTCTTCCACAAAAATCAACAGGAAAATCCTTTTATGCTCAGTCTAGCTAGAATTAAGTCTACCTAGTTCAGATAGTCGACACCAGCCTGAGCATGGAACAACTCAAAGAAACAGTACAAGACTGGAAAACGTGAAGAGAGCTGGCTCATGGAATCGCCAAGAGTCGGACACAACTGAATGGCTAACAACAACAAGTCCAGATAGAGTAAAGCACACTCAAAACAAGTGTGATTGCTCCATATTTTAATTGTAATGTTTGATCTTTCTAAAAAGCAGGAATTATTAAAAAATTCTATTATGGTGGATTTCTCCATTTGAACCTTAGTTCTTCCCCACAGGACTGCTCTTCAGCTCAAAGTCCTAGCTAGGAAAGGTCCAATGAGCAATCCAAATCCCTTTCTCAGCGTTTTTCCTTAAGGTTTGTGTAAACTACAAAAATTAGTCCCATTCCACATTACCATTCTAAACTGGATGTTATTAATTGTTGGCCTGATTTGTGGGGGGGGGGGGGGGGGGGAGATTCATACAGCAAATTTCATCCCATTAATAAGGCATTTCTGAAGCACTATGGTAATTTCAAAGAGTTCTGCTTCTCCCCCACCCCCGCCGCTCCTTCACCATGCAATCTTCCTCAGACTTTAAAAAAATGTTCTAAGGTGAGTGCTATAGCACTAAACCACTATAGTACTGGCTCAATGGAGTCAATGCGTCTCATTGGTGCCTTTAGCAGTATTGTGCTCACCTTAGAGGGTTAAAAAAATGTCTGAGGAAGACTGTGTGGCAAAAAAGGGCGGGGGGAAAGTGGCATTGTAGGAAGCACTATGGGCATTTTAAGCAGCACATCACAGCGATTCAGAAGTGCAACAAAGGGGTTGAAAACGGGGGGGAAACAGTTTTCCTCAAAATTGGCTCAACCACACTTTGCTAACCCAATGCAAGCAGGTTTATATTAACAGGTAAATAAATTCTGCTAGCAGCTGGTTACTAAAACAGGCCTGTCTGAAATGACAGAAAAACCCATTAGCAACTAGTTACTAAAATGGACTACATAGGCAGTTTGAAAAGGGTCACATAAAGAAAAAGATTTCAAGTCTCATTTCAAGTTTTCTGATTCAGAAATCCGTGAAAAACACACTTGTGTGCTGTAAAACACAATTTTCAACACAAATATACAGTTTTCCACACCTAAAGCTACTGTTAGCAGGCCCTGTCTCCAATAACTCCCACAGAACCTGACTCTGAGCCTTCCTCTCCAGTTTTCTCCCTGTCTCTGGTGTTTTTTCAAGTTTATCTTCCCCTCAGTTTCTCCCTGACATCATGGATCTCTTCATAAACATACTCCCAGTGGCTGTACCAGATGAAATAAGACTCCACTTTGACACAGGTTGGGACAGTAAGATACCAGCGTGACACATACCTCTGAATCCCTTCAACTAAAGCAACTTCATCAGGGGACGAGGATATATACACTGAAGATCTTCCTGAGAGCTGAGCTTTCTTTAATCCATCCACATTGTCATCCTCCTTCACTTGAACAGTGTGACAAAGACACAGTGCCCGGAAAAAGAGCTCTTCCCTCTCCTAATAAATTAGAGAGGAACACTGCTGGTACAAATTTTCAGTTCTAAGCACCAATATTAAATATTTTCTATTTGGAACAGATACAGTTTCTACGAGGGAGAGGCAGATAATTAATTGTAAGAGACTAGCTTGCATTTTTAAAGGGCACCCACCTCTAGTAATAAAGCAATACAGTCTTGTAACCTGCAAAAATTATTAGATATATCTGAAGAAGTTTTTAAACCAGAATATATATTTTTTTGTCTGTGCCTTCTTTTTGGTGTTCCAGATCTGCATTCAGGAGGACTCCGTTTCAGTTAGGATGCATCATGTACAGCCCTATAACACAGCTTTGAAGCCAGAGCTCAGACGTGAAGTGACAAGAAAAATTCCTTCAAGCATAGGTCAAGGAACAAGCGTAAGCCTCTGCTACCTGCCAGGGCTTCTGCGCCACAAGGCATGGCTTCCAAACAGGCTTCAACCTTGCAGTAGTTTTTTTTAATTAGTCACTGTTTTTATTAGCTCATGGGCTGGTGCTTATTGTCATACTAAGGACTCGAAGACTTGTAAAAATGGATTAGTTACATCTTTAGAGCCTCAATCCAACCAGCTAGACACAGGTAGATTTTTTTCTGTCCCTTTTATTCAATGCTTATAGGCGTACATTGTTAACTGGGTGTGTAAAATGTGTGGCAGCCACTTTGACAGTATACTTTAATACACAACTAAAGGGTGTTCTCTTGTGTATGTAGTTGGAAAAACAAAGATAGCAAAATCCAAGCCTCTGCTTTCTGTTGGCTCGATCAATGCTTGTTATAAGGCAGCAAACAGATAGGTGAATCTTAAAACTTGAGCTAAACAGAGAATTTACTACGTTGAATATAAGTGCCCATGTGTATTCAACAATACCTTTCCCACTGAACACAAGTTTTTCGATGTTGGCATCGTCTCCTTTCACGTTTGTTTTGCATCTTTGCTAGCCCCCCTGGGTCTATCTTGGAAACCACAACAAAACTGAAGGTAATGAGCCACTAACATGGGTGGTGCTCTATGCAGACTTAAGGTGTTTGGAAAAAAAATTAAAAGAAGTCGGCTGAAACACCTTATTTGTATGACACCTCAGTGAAACAGACTCTGATTTTTCTTCTGCTCCAGGAACTGTAAATAGTGGTCACAGGCATGAGACGTTAGGACCACAATGCCAAAGATGAAAATTAATCATTTTCAATAAAATGGGTATCGTTTGTAGTTCTGCTTTTTGAAATTTTCTTTCCTACAGTCCTGGCCTTATATCTACAACTGACATCCTATGTAGATAAATCAGGTGCTTTAGGCATGCCCAACATTCCAGCGTTATGATTCTGTACCTTTAATAACAAGGAAAAACTGGCAGATGCCGCTCACTCAAGCCCCCACCAGACTGGGACAGGACAAGCTCCACCTGCTGAAATTCCTTTATCTATCTGGCTATCAAAACATAAAGAATGCTTCTGTTGCAGAGCTGGGCAACTCTGAAAATGGCTTCCTTATTAACCTATTTATCAGTTCTGTTCCAGGAGCTCAGCGGCACAGACAGATCCTCCTGTGTGAGCGGATGGAGGGACTCTTTCATGTCGGGGACAGCTCCATGTGCACCTTTCATTGTGTGTACAGAGAGCCATCCAAAGACTGAAAGTGAACAAAGGGCTCTTTGCTTTCATGCAGTAGCGGGGGGGGGGGGAAGGCATGCAATGCCACAATAGAATTTACTGGGCTCAGTGCAAAATACAGAAGCAATCCCTTCCCCCAACCTGATCTGCCAGCCGTTCACTGCTCTGAGCTCCCAAAAATAGAATGGAAATGTTAACAGCGTGAAAGGGAAGACAGGGGGAAGAACCATCTTGTATATATAAACACATAAATATGTACTAACAGGTCAGAGTTTCCAAGCTTGCAATTTGTTTCACTGCCACAGCTATTCTACAAAGTGCTTTTTGTTTGTTTTTAAATAAAAGCGTACACAGACTCTTGGGGCTCCTAGATCCTGGTATACACCCACCCCCAAAGTTCCCTAAGCACCCTGCTCTTTCTCGGTATGCCTAGCCAATAAACAAGTCTAGCTTTCAGTTCCAACCTAATATGCCATCTGTCAGATCACTGTTGGAAAAAATAATGACATCTCAGAAGCTACAACAACAATGGGAAGGGAAGCATAAGCTTTGGCATATTAGGTTTTATATTGAAAGAGCTGGTTTATCTCCAAAAAATGGTTTGGAGACCAGACTGTTTTGTGTGAACCACATCACTAAATATGAGAAGCAACAGTTCTCACATCCACGAAGCAGGAGTGTCCTTAATACAAGTACAGCCAGGAATACATCCCTACTCAAAACTGAAAAGCCACTTTGTTTAACTAAAAACTGCAAAACACTATGTGTTCAATAACTCTACCATCACCAATATTATTCAATCAGCATATAATTTAAGAAGATAAGGCTTCCTACTTTGCTGCTTCCTCCTGGGGAAGAATCAATCATATCAATTCCAGCACAATCATTGAGGATTTGGCCATTACAGATGACGTGAGGAACGTAAACATGTCCCTCAATGCAGCATTCAATGAACTCCATATTGTTCTCAGTTAATGTCCCGGTTTTATCTGTGAAGACATATTCAACCTGAGGGGCAACATACAGAATTAAAAATGGTTGAAATAACAGTGACAGACCTTAACATAACAAGTCATCTTTCTGTAAGACTTAGCGCTGAACTGCAGGCTGTGGAAGGTCAGTAGTTCAGCAGTTCGAGACCCAGGTGCCACATGATGGAGTGAGCTCCCATCTCTAGTTCCAGCTCCTGCCAACCTAGCAGTTCGAAAGCAAGAAATTGCAAGTAGAGAAATAGGTACCACTTTGGTGGGAAGGTAACAGCGTTCCGTGCGCCTTTGTGTTTAGTCATGCCGGCCACATGACCATGGAAATGTCTTCGGACAGTGCTGGCTCTTCGGCTTTGAATCGGAGATGAGCACCGCAACCCTAGAGTCGGATTCGACTGGCTTTCGAGCAAGGGAACCTTTACCTAAATGTGACCACAAGGACACCAATGCCATTTTAAAATATTGCAAGGGCCTCACCCTGATCTGGCCTACAGCATGGTGCTCTTGTTCCCCCCAACACACACCTTTTAAAGTGCCAAAACAGCTGCGTTGGAGCCCCAAGGGAACAAGGATACCACCATTTTTAGTTTGGCCCTTAATTCCTGGCTTGTTCGCAAATTCTTTAAATAACTTCTAAACTGATTATACTTTTTGGACTAACTTGTAAAGTAACTCCCTGCTACTTTACCTCTCCCCCATATGACACACACAAATCTCACATCAGGCAACAATGAAAAAGTTTACATCTTAAGAGTCAGTTTCTAAATTTGTACGACAACATCGACGCAATAATTACCTGCCCTAACTCTTCATTGAGGTCAGATGTATTCACAAGTGGGCCTTCACCTGTTTCCTCATCAAACATTTCTTCATCCCAAGTGAGAAAATAAGAACCAAGAAACTTCTGCATTTCTACTGTGACATACATGGACACAGGAATGATGTAGTTGAAAAGAACCATGAAGGCAAGAAAATCTGTAAATGCTGTAATAAACTGGCAAATGGGGAAAAACAGAGCAAAAAAATGGATTAGGATATGGCATAAACCATATTTTAGACATTTATAACATACAAATAGACCCAACTAATAATTATTGTTTAGTCCACAAAATCCATCTACTTTGATTATTGTCACATTTAGCTGGTAGAGCTCAGTATGCAATATTAATCTTCAAGTACATGTTACAATTACTATGTTACTTCTTATCTCGGTAAGAAATAATTACAGCAGTGTGTACACGCATAGCCTCCTACTGGAAGAAAGTTAACCCACCTCTATCAGATAGGTATAAAGGATCTGCAACAGTGCATTGTTTTCTAAAATAACTTATTACAGAAGAACCAGAATCAACTCATACATGGATAAATTTATGGAAGAATGTGCGATGTTTGTGTCATTACCAAGGATACTTCTCTGTTTTGAGCTTGAACCCCTTGGTTTGAAACAATATAAACAAAGCTTATAGTAATGCTTTGGTATGTAAATCTTATTTGTAATGATTTCAGGACCTTGAGTTGTGGTCCACTTATTTTTTTCCTTTATTAATATATTATTTTAGTTGTGTAAAAATACACTATTATATTTTATTGTACACTAATAATTATATTAATTTTTATTCATAGATGAACAACAATATCTACAACTTTTGGGGTTTTAACCCCGTAATCCAATTTGAGTTACACTGAAAAAGACATACGACAAACACAGTAAAATAAACAAACAAACAAACAAACAAACAAAACAATACCCAAATCCAGCACAGGAACTACAAATAGAGAAAATGACTCTGTGGCTATGATCTCACACACTAAATAATGCACTTTAAAACCACTTTCAATGCACTTTCCAACTGGATTTTGCCAATTCACACAGTTGGAAATCCAGTTGGAAAGTACACTGAAAGTGAATTGAAAGTACATTATTTAGTGTATATCAGGGCTTTTTTGTAGAAAAAAACCAGCAGGAACTCATTCGCATAACAGGCCACACCCAACAGCAGAAACTCATTAGCATAGTAGGCCACACCCTGACAGCACAGTGCATTAGCATATTAGGCCGCACCCCCATGTCACCAGAAGTGTTGTCATCCAGCCACACCCACCTTTTGCTTCTTATTCTGTTTACCTTGTTTGTTGTCAAAACCCAGGGCTTTTCTTGTAGCAGGAACCCTTTGCATGTTAGACCACACACCCCGAATGTAGCCAATCCTAATAAGTTTCTGCTGTTGGGTGTGCCCTATTATGCTAATGAGTTCCTGCTGCGCGTGGCCAACTCAGGAGCCAGCCGGAACTCCGTTCCTGTGCGTTCCTGCCCAAAAATAGCCCTGGTGTATATGATTACAGCCTAAGTGTAAACTGTCTTGCTGGATGAGAATCTCACACAAACTAGATAGCCCAAAGTTGTGTGGGCAAGGAAGAACATCTCCTCTCTACAACACACTGCCAAGCAATGAGTACTATCTTTTATGAAAGCTGAAGTTATTCTTCATACCACATTTCTTTTCCTTTCCAGTTCAGTTTTCCGATTATACCACGGCTCATCACGAAAGGATTCACTTTGCCAAACATACTTCAGGACGGTATTTATTAGTGCTTTACTGATCAGAATACAGAGGTATACTATGAGAAATACATTCATGGATCTGAAACAAACCAGACCAACAGTTTCAAGATTAACAAAATGACAACGCTTTATGGCATCGTGGTTCTCAGAGCCTGACATTTTTTTCCTCAATGTAAATCAAATAAATGCAATAAGATATATTTTGGAGAGAACCATTAGCAATATTAACAGGAAACAGGAGAAAGGATTGATGGCACAGGTTGTCAGTGCCAGGGATGAACAAATAGTCAGCTTGTATTTTTGTCCAACAGTTGGACAGATATGGAGCCCTGTTCCCCAGAGTGGCACTTGCCCCACGTTTCAGCAAAGTGGGCAAGCCCCTTGCCTGCATTTGGCAGGTGGATTCCACCTTGAAACAGCCACCACTGTGAGCTTCGCTGAGGTGCAGGCATCATGCTAGGGATGGAAGTAGATGTGGCTGTTTTGGTTGATGGAAATTGCAAATGTGGCTCTCCATGAGCCATGGAGTGAATACTGGTCTACATATCATTGGTTTAAGGGTGTAATCAGCTGATACTTCTGAGATGACAGGCTATCCACTTACCATACCCAAAACTGTACTGTTAGTATACAGTTCTGTCTCATGCATTTAAAATGTGGGTTCATTACATCTGACATCTGTGAAACTTGAGGCCCTCCCATTTTATTCTCACAAAACCCTTGTAAAGTAGATTGGACTAAGAGCTTCAGCTTCATGACTGAGCAGAAATGTGATCCTGGGTTTTCCTGATTTGCAAAATATTTGTGTTTTGATACTTCTAGCAGCACAACAGTGAAATAGTAAACTGCAAGCTCCTCTTTCAATGGTGTGTTAAATAAAAAGCCATGATTTTGGAAATGAAACAGTACGTCTGAAGTTTCACCAGAAATAACATTTCGTCTGAATAGGATGCTGTTAGTTTCTTCCTACAGGCTTACCTGGTGTTGGTGAGGAACGATGCCTCCTAGACTAGACATAGGCAATTGGTTTGTTTTTAGAGAGCTGAAAAGAAGACTAAGGCTGCGATCACACACACTAAATAATCCATTCAATCCACTTTCCAACTGGATTTGACTTGTGTGAACTGGCAAAATCCAGTCGGAAAGTGGATTATTTAGTGTGTGTGATTGCAGCCTAATATTAGTAGCACATTGTTTTCATTCTCGCTTTAGATAAACAAAGGGACAACACCCTGTGTGCACGCCACTATGGAAACTCTCTCTCACACAACCTTGAACTCTTCTAAAAAGTTTAATCAGTTTCTAGCCTTAATGGTTTCTGGCTGCTGGGTCTATGTGCATTTATGTGCAACAATCTGAGACAAGAACAACTCCTTCCTCCCTCGCCATTATACTTCTTTTCCCTGCCATTATGCACAGCAAAGGGAAGAAAGAGGAACTTCCAGGCTTATTAGTGGGAGGTATGCCCCCTGGAATTCTTTCCCCACTCTGTTAAGTGATCTGCATTTTGGCACAGGCAGTTGATGACTAGACTTGACTATTTACCAAGTGGTAGCTTATACTATGGAGCTGCAGTGGCTCAAGTGGTTAAGACGCTGAACTGCAGGCTGTGGAAGGTCGGTAGTTCAGCAGTTTGAGACCTGAGTGTGGCACATGAAAGAGTGAGCTCCCGTCTCTAGTTCCAGCTCCTGCCAACCTAGCAGTTCGAAAGCAAGAAATTGCAAGTAGATAAATAAGTACCACTTCAGTGGGAAGGTAACAGCGTTCCGTGTGCCTTGGTGTTTAGTCATGCCAGCCACATGACCATGGACATGTCTTTGGACAACGCTGGCTCTTCGGCTTGGAAACGGAGATGAGCACCGCAACCCTAGAGTCGGATTCGACTGGCTTTCGAGCAAGGGAACCTTTACCTTTAGCTTATACTACAGTGACCACCTTAACCACATGAGCAGCCAAACATCCATAGCAGCTACCCACATAGCAAGGAGAATTTTGACCAGACATCCACATTTTAGTGAAAACCTTGGAATATGAGGAAATGGTCTCCTTGCTAAATGGTTATGGATGACAAATTCTAAATTCTTCATTGTGTACATAGCAGGCAATTAAACATTACATTCTAACAGATGTACAACTAAAGAGATAAAGTGAAAAACAAACATGTCTGCAAACTCATGCATCATGCAGGTACACCTGACAGAGTTTTTTGATCTTAGGCAGCTTTCTGTTCAATAGCAAACCTGCATTATTTATAACACAAATGCATGTTTGTGTAAAGATCAAGACAACAAGAGTGTTATTTGAATTTGTTAAAGCTAGAAACTGTGAAATCAACTAATGCATCCAAATTCTTAACAAATAAATAACAAAAGGGGAAAAAAAACTCCAATCAGACTGGAGATGCCTATAGCTCTCGTTAACGAAAACTTAATATAAACTTTTATTTCATCTCATTTTTAACAAGTCAAGTGAAGTGAAGTCATCCCCTTCCTAAGCAACTCTAAGAATATATTTAAAAACAGTCTTACTTTTCTACAGCAGATCGTTTCTGAGATTTTGACTGGTAGTTCAATGCCATTTTGGTTTCCATGCCAGTATATATAGCAACACCTGAAACAAAACAACATTGTTTCGTCAAAAAAACAAACAAATGTGTTTTCACAAGTATACAAAAACATTACCCAAGAGAGTATAAATGTTAATTGTTGCCGCCCTGGGCCATATGGGTAGGGCGGGATACAAATCCCATAATAAATAAATAAATAAATAAATCACAACTGTGGGCTTTGTTCCAGGGAGCCCATTAATGAGAATTGCTTGCATTTACCGATAGGGCTGAACTAAAATTTTCTATGAAAGTTTTGGGAGACAGCGTGCTGTAGTGGGTAAGAGTGGCACACTCTAATCTGGAGAACTGGGAGGAATTTCACATTACCCCGTTTTGAAGCCGTTTTTGCTCCGTCATGGAATAAACCGGTATAGGGCTGCCATTTCACACATGGCTTTCCCCTTCCAGTAAAGAGCTGGATCTGAAGCGGTTTGCCCTTTCAGACTGCACCGCTTCCCCCCCCACCGTTTTTCGCCTGTGCGGGCGATCTCCGGCTTTTTTTAAAAAATGTTCGCTTTAGAGCACTATAGCGCTATAACACAACTCTCCAGGCATTCCAATGGGGTTGATATAATGCTGTTGTGTTATACCGTTACAGCGCTATAGCGCACAAAAGCGAACCTTCCCCCCCCCCCCAAAAAAGCTGGAGATCGCCCACGCGGGCGAAAAACGGTGGGGAAAAGTGCATCGGAAATGGGAGAGGAAACTGAAGACTACTTGGACGCGGTTGACAGGTAAAATGTTTCAGCCCCGTTTCCTAAACGGGACAGAAGCATTTGTGTGTGAAATTACAAATATATTCAGGTAGGGAACCGGTTCTAAAACGGTTCTGTCTGAAATGACAGACCAGAAACCATTTGGGAACCGTTCCTCTTCCGGATTATATCGTCTGTCTGAAATTCCTCTGGGTTTGATTACCCACTCCTCCACATGAAGCCAGCTGGGTGACCTTGGGCCAGTCACAGTTTTCTCAGAACTCCCTCAACCCCACCTACCTCACAAGGTGCCTGTTGTGGGGGAGTGGAAGGGAATGAGATCATAGGCCACTTTAAGACTCCTTAAGGTAGAAAAAAGTGGGGTATAAAAATCTATTCCTCTCCTTCACTGAAAAAAATACCCCTTTTAGCAATTAAAATTTTGGCTGCTCTGAGACGTTTCAGAAGAATTCATCCATTCAGAATGAGGATGGTATTGACCCAATAAGCATTGCCCTAGCTCTTCATCGGCAACATCATTATGCAGCCAAATCTGACTGGCTACTTTCATGACATGCCTGCATTTGCTATGGTATCCCCAACTGGCTTGGATGACCCGTGTGACTAATTCCAGGAACCATATGACCCTAAAAATGGCACCAAAACAGCAGCAGAGATAATGACAGCAAACAGAACTAACATTTACACAATTATGGCTTTTTGGGGGAACATGTTGGTATACACTGAAAATGCTACTTTTATCTCATTTTTAGCGAACATTTGAGCATCCCTATTTGGTAGAGCTTGTCTACTTTCTTTTGAATAGAAGACCCTTGCTACCAGATCAGAAAACATATCTGAAACTTATTGTGCAAATCTCTTCATGTACTGCTGTACACTGGGACTTCATTGTTTTTATACTACTAGTGTAATTCATTACAATATTTACCAAAGATTTTCTCTGTGTTCTTTAAAGTAGCTCCTCTAAGAAGCAGATTTTCAGATCCCAATGGCCTGCAAAGGTAAAATTGGCAAGCATTTGACAGTTATCTCCAAAGGGTTGAAAGTAGTGGTTTTAAAATTCACATAAAACACAGAATGAACAAGGTGAGGATCAGAATTTTTTAAAATAACTTTCTCATCTTTGTTAAATTATAGCCCTTTGTTATATAAGACATTTGTTTGGTTTGTAGGTCAGGCTTGCATTTTCAAATGAAAATTAAAGTTAAGCTCTTAAACCCTTAAACACACCTCTTGATTAGCAGTCCAATTTTTAAAGGTGTCTTAGAATACCTTAGACAAATTAAGTTCCAAGGCATAGATTGAGACCACCACTCTAACACTCTGAAACTAGTCCTAACTACAGAGGTAGGGGTGTGTGTGTGTGTGTGTGTAAAAAACTTGGGTTTAGCTAGTAACTCAATGAGACTTATTCCCAAACAAAATGTGTGTGGGGGTTATAGTCAAACCATGCAACCAAATCCTATAGATTCTTATGTGAAAGAAAGCCCCACCATATTTAATAGGGCTTATTCTCAATCAAGAAACCATAACATTGCCACCTTAGCCATGTTCCAGTTACTGAGACTGCCACTTCTAGTCACCTGTCCATTATGACATCCAGAGCCTAAGCTCAGAAATTTTCTTTAGAAGTCTCGCTTAGCTTGAGTAAGTGCACTGCCACGTATTTTGGATATTTTTAATTGGAATGCAACACATTGTCCATTTTTATTTCACACTGATGTGAACACATGTACAGATTAGTATTTGCTATATACGCTGGAAGCAAACTGATGTGTATACAACCCTGGACTGCAAAGAAAGATGACAGAAAGTAAGATAGACGTGATAGACATGCATGTAAAGACTGTTAGCAGATCTTAAAGTATGACCTGTCATGCGAGCTGTACAGATATGCATTATAGTTAGAATGCTGTCATTAATAGTGTTGTTCTTCGCCAGGAAACATGTAAACCACATCACACATACTCCATACTCACATACAAGTGTCAACCTTGTGCGCCTAAAAGCCACACTAACAATCTTTATGTTTGTTCCCTTTCTCTCTTCCTCCCTCCCTGTGACCACTGTTTTGTCAAATCAGATGCCTCTCTCCTAAGGATATCCTAAGAGTCCTGGCTTTCCCATCTGGATCATGCCCTGTCTGAACTATACGACCCTTTTCTGGCTAGCTTTCCTTTTCACACCTCAGTCCTCTCAACTGTACCCCAAACTCTTCTGCCAAAATCATGCAATGATTTTGCTGTACAGATTCATGCAAAATCCCTCCTCTTCCATTCCATATCCTGCACGATTTTTTAAAATTCTTCTTATGAACTCCCCACTGGCTTGCTCCAGCCTTTTTTTGCCCCACCATCAAGTCACAGCCAACGTATTGTGTAGAGTTTTCAGGGGTAGCTCTGCTACTGCTTGCACCAAGACTTCCTTGGTGGTCTTCCATCCAAGCATTAACCAGGGCTGACCCTGCTGAGCTTCCAAGATCTGATGAGTTCAGGCTAGCCTGGATTATTCGGCTCAAGGCACTTCAGTTTATTTCTCCTCATCAGTCGCTATAACAGTTGCAACTATTCAGCCCTAAGTTCTCCAAAATCTCCATTGTTTTAAACACTTCTACTTATTTTCCTATACTGCCCTCATGGTGCCCCCTCCTCCCTACTTATTTTCTTACACTGCCCTCATGGTGCCCCCTCCTTCCTACTTATTTTCCTACACTGCCCTTCTGGTGCCCCCTCCTCCCTACTTATTTTCCTACACTGCCCTTCTGGTGCCCCCTCCTCCCTACTTATTTTCCTACACTGCCCTCATGGTGCCCCCTCCTCCCTACTTATTTTCCTACACTGCCCTTCTGGTGCCCCCTCCTCCCTACTTATTTTCCTACACTGCCCTCATGGATCCCCCTCCTCCCTACTTATTTTCCCACACTGCCCTCCTGGTGCCCCCTCCTCCCTACTTATTTTCCTACACTGCCCTCATGGTGCCCCCTCCTTCTATTCTTTCAAACTCCTCCTCAAAACAACCCTGTCAGTTTCCATCCACACATGGAATTAACCACCCTTTGTATTTAAGCTACATCCAATTTTTTTACCTGGCTTCCTG